CTCAAATACGTCAGCACTACTCTAGGCGAACGACATCCAGAAGACAAACTGCACATCCTCGTGGCCAAGCGCAACGCTGGCAGCTTCACGTACGATGGCATCGATACCGGTGGCGAGCGCGTGGCAGAAGAGGTGGAGAGAAAGTTGGATGAGCTCGCTGAGGCTGGACACGACATAACGAAGATCAGTGTCGTTGGCTACTCGCTGGGAGGCTTGATAGCACGCTATGCTATCGGCCTGCTGTTCCACAGAGGCATCTTCGAGAAGATACAACCAGTCGTATGTCTACACTGCCCTCCACGACTCTCAATCCAGTAAACTAACATCACCAGAATTTCACAACGTTTGCGACACCACACCTCGGCGTACGAACACCCCTCAAAGGCTACCACAGCCACATCTGGAACGTCTTAGGTGCCCGAACACTCTCCATGAGCGGGAGACAACTCTTTGGCGTGGACAAGTTTAGGGATACAGACAGATCACTTCTAGCCGTACTTGCGGACCCCGAAAGCATCTTCATCCGAGGCCTTGCCCAATTCAAGCATCGGAGTCTATACGCGAACGTCGTGAATGATCGAACAGTCACATACTACACCGCCGGTATCTCGCAAACCGACCCTTTTGTCGACCCGGACGACATCAAGATAAACTATATCCCAGACTACGAAGATGTTATCGTTGACGGCGAACACCCCGTCTCGCAAAAGGAGCCAGAAGAGCCTCCAGCGCTATCACAGCGGCTGGTACAGGGTACATGGACGATACTGGGACGGACCGGCATTGTCGCAGCCTTGACAGTCCTTGTACCAATCGGCGTGTCAGCTTTCCTCATCAACTCGGCATTCCAATCGATTCGCAGCCAGCAACGGATAAGACTGCATGAGGAAGGCAGATCAGGCATCGACTACGCGCGCTATCGCATACCGCTCATGATCAATGCCGTACGGCGCGAGGCCGAGGGCATGTACGAAAACGCAAATCACGTCCAGAGCCAAGAATATCTGAGCGAGAGCTACGAACACGTAGGGTCTGCTTCTCCACGCAAGGACGAGTCCAGATCCGACGTTGACTCGATACAAGAGCAAAAGGAGGCCGCGACTCCCACTTTCCCCACGCTGGCTCTTACCCAAGAACAATTCGGAATGATCGAAGCGCTGGACAACGTTGGCTTCACGAAGCACCCAGTCTACATTCACAACCATCGACACTCGCATGCGGCTATCGTTGTACGCATGAACAAGCCTTCTTTCAATGAGGGCAAGGTGGTCATCAAGCACTGGCTAGACAATTTCGAACTATGATCAAGTCACGGGTGGTTATTTTCTGTTTGCATTTACAGCGTGGCGCATGGAGTATCTTCGGGATGGCATTCTCAGGATATAGAAGCAGTTTCCTTTTCGGCAAGGTAAATCTTGGTCACTTTGTTTATGTAGGTGTTTTCAATTACGAATGTTTAATGGGTTACTACACCCCCACTAGTGCGTCTTCACAACACCCTCCTCCTCTAATAACTAACCCACTGGTGCCGCTTCAACTTCATCTTCGTCCGACTCACACCCATCCTCGTCCTCGTCCGACTCCCCCTCATCCTCATCCACATCCAACTCCCCCTCCTCCCCCGCAAACCGAAACGTCAACCCACTCAAAACCTTTGCTCGAAAATCCACCCGACACATAATCTCCACCCTCACAACCTCATACTTCGCCGTCTCATACACCCTCAACGCATCTTCCTGCTCCTGCGACACAACCTCGTACGCGCAGCCTTCCACACACGTGCCAGGGTTATTGACCAGCGCTTTGTACTTGCCAGCCCACGTTCTGATTTTTCCTGAGTGAATCATAGCTGGTAAGAGCGTGTGTTGGTGGTCTGGTGGCGAGTTGAATAGGTGGGCTAGTTGCGAACTGTTGGCTAGGGTGCCGTAGAAGAAGTACCATACTGGGAATTGGTTTTGTGCTGGCAGGCATTCAGGGCCGGTGATGTTTTGGGTGCGACGGTGAGGTAGTGTGGTGTCGTAGCCTAGAGTTGGGTATGCGGAATATGGAGAGAGCGTTTTGCGTGCGATGTTGATGGGGATGAAGGTTGGTGAGATGGTGGGGTATGCCTCCGCAAGCCATTTCTTGATTGTTGGGATGTCGATGTCGCGGATTTGACAGAATGTCGCAGCGCCGTTTTCGCCTTGCCCTTGGTGAATTTGGGGTTGGGTGGGGAGGATGGCGGCAGAGGCGAGGATTGTGGGGGTAATGGGTGCGGTGATCTTGAAGAGGTAGTCCATCTTGCTCGATTTGCGCTTGGGGGTTCCATTCGCTGGTGTCTGGTATTTGGTGGCTCGGATGAGATCTTCTAGCTCGGAGGACAGCTTGGGCGCCGCAGTATGATCGAATGGCGCGGAATCGCCGGTCAGTTCGTCCAGCGCGTTCATGCCTTCTAGATCTAGATCGTCGGGGTATTCCATGGTGTTTGTGAGGGTTAGGTGTTTGTGAGGGTGTTTTTCCGCTGCAGGTCGCGCCTTCACACTCTTTATGAATAGTTTTCCTCCTTTTTGAGTCACAGCCACACGTTTTACCGCACCTTGGTTGCTGTTCGATGTATCCAGTGGTACTACAGTGAGCCAATAGACCACGACGTGTTACTCGCAGCACCCATACTTTATACCAACACATACTTTTGAGGCTTACATTGTTCTGCGTCACCGTAGGCTGTCATTGTGGAATCTACTAAGTTCCTCCTAGGTGTCGCAAAGCTTGTGGAAACTTTTGTTCCCGCGGGCTTTTAGATTCCAGCCCGACGTTCGTCGCTCCTCCAGAAGGGAGTCTCATAGATGAGAGAAGAATAATTCCTGGGAAAGATTGAAGAAAGCAGGTGATGGGCTCTTTCCAAGATTGTTCCTACGTGTATGGGTAGCGAGGGTGGGTACAGCGGGCAGCCACGAGGCGGTGCACGCTAGATGCTAGACTACAGCACTTTCGATATGGCCCTTCTACGACGCATCAGAAGCACTCAGCATGAAATACGCACTCAAAAGACTGTTCAGTTATTCCATTTCGACGTCTCAAAGAAATGGGAACAAATTAGGGTGCGAGAAAGGATCATGAGAACACTTAAATTGGCAGGGCAGGATCAACTTGCGAAAGCGGCATGGGCGGCACGAGCGGCGTTGCGGAACCAGTGCACTAGTGCTAGGCTTGCACCTACATAGATCCCCCATACTGGACTTCGAATCCTCTTGACTGACTAGAAACGACAACATCCCGAGTGAGCAAAAGCGACCCAGATCACCACTTGAAGTCCCCGCCCTCGATCGTGGGAAAGTGTCCCGAGGTCTCCTCCCTTGTGGCCTTGTCGATCTACGTATCGTCAGCACGAATTCTGCACAGTAGGTGAGCGATCAGAAACTTACCGTCGACACCAAGAAATTGGCACTGTCCTCAACAGTAATGAACGCCTTCTCCATACCAAACGTCTTCGCTCCCTCGTTACCCATATCAGTCTGCACAAATCCAGGATCAAGCACAAACGCGGTAAGCTCCGGGTGATCAAAGTGCGCCTTGCAAACCATCCAGTGCAACATGACTTTGGACATTCCATACGCAGCCATGGGGAACGGACGGCTCTCCATACCGGTGATGCTAGCGATGGGAGTTCCGAGCGCAGCGAACTTGGGGTTGGACGATTTCAGTAGCATGGGCAGCACAGCTTGGAAGAGGAGAAGGGGTCCGTAGGCGTTTACTTCGACGTGCGACTTGAGCACGTCGAGAGAGACTGAGGCAACGGGGGCGTAGTCCGAGGAGATGCCGGCGTTGGCGATGACGGTGTCGATGGTGGTGATGCCTTGGTTCTTGAGTTCTTCGATGGCCTTCTTCGAGCCTTCGGTGTCGCGGCTGTCGTAGGCGATGACGATGAGCTTGCTGTCTTTGCCGGCAGGGAGGGACTTGAGCGACTCCGCGGAGCTGGTGGTGCGTGCTACGGCAATGACGGTGTTGTTTGGGCGCGCCAGGTAGTTCTCGACCATTGCCTTTCCGAGACCTGGAGAATGGTTAATTAAACATCGGTTGATAGAGTAGGTGAGAAGTACCTCTAGCAGCGCCAGTGATGAGGTAAGTTGTTCCTGCCATAGTGGAGAAATTGTCGCTGGGAGTTGACGAGTTGGAAGTCTTTTTGCTGGTAGATTGATCTGTGTTTGAGCCGACGGACTTGAAGCAGGAGAACAATGCAGAGAAGGGTGACATGTATGGGTTGTTTGATCAGCACAGTTGTCTACTTAACCGTCGACGTACGATCATGTTTGGCTGAATTGATAAGCCGAACTCGAAGGAGCGCGCACGTGTGACATAGTTTCCATCTTTGTCAGCTCGGTCAATCGCAAGCGCGAGCAATTGCGGCTGAGATGTCAGCAGATACAAAGACAAAGACATATTGTGTTGCAAATGTAGACTTGATGCACGGACGACGCCGCAATTCCATGGGATGCTGACCTTGCATGATTAGTGTAACATAATCGACGGCCCGCTCTCCACGTTTCGGGTGAGCAACTTCGACGAGTGCCGCTGGCCTGGAACGCTAGAAACGCCACACTGGTTGCCTTTGCTGATTGCCTTATATCGACCTCGCCGGGCGTTCAGCCGCGCATACCTTGGTCTGCAGCCCCCAATCCTCACCGGTACCTGTTGCCAAGCTGTGTGTTTACAAATCGACGCGGAAATGGAAGTGCGCGCGTGCGGTCTTGACGAAGCCGCCTGCTAAGGCACAGAAGATGATCAAATTCAGGAACAAAAGAACATCAGTAGTAAGCTGACCCGTGCCATCATTCTCAAAGTCGACAGCCAATGAATACAACTATGTAATTAACGAAAGTTCTGGAGCACTTCTCCCAAGTTACAACAAGCCTACTCAATTTGGCCAACACCGAAAGATCACCGAACCGCCACATTTAAGGCTACTATCCCTTCTCACGCCGCAGCCCAATTGAGCTACATCGTCCTCCTTCGATCACGGTCTACGCCCTGCACAAGCGCCCATCGCTCGCCACATTCCACGCATCGCTGCCGACGATGGTGGGGCCATAAAACAGATCATCTGGATCGTACTCCTTCTTGATCTTGCGCAGCTTGTCGTAATTCCCACCGTAGAAGTCCTCTTTCCACGTCGGATTCGCAAAGTTGGCCTCGTTCAAGTACGAACCGGCGCCTGGTGTGACAGCTTCGAGTTTGGGTATGATGACGTTGTTGATCTCGTCGATTTGAGCCAGGTTGAAGTTCCAGGGTTGGTTGTATTGCCACTGTAGCTGCGCGAGGACGTTCATGTTGGCTTCACGCCACTGTGGGGCCACGGCGTTGGGTGCGATGGCATCTCGGGTTGAAGAGCCGACCCCAACTAGCGCAATCATTGCGTCGGTGGTTTCTGTGAGGTCGCGCAGGACTGATACAAATTCTGCTGTGTTGTTCTGTAGAACGGGCCGAGGGACGAAGCGCCCACCGCTGATTCGGTCTATCAGCTGCCACTCCGGCGGAATGAAGTAGATGTTGTAGAAGTCCATGAAGGTGGGAAAGGTGGTGACATTAACTGAGTATTCGAGTCCCAAACTGTCCAGCTTCGTCGTGACTGGTGCAATTAGATCTTGCACGTCGGCCTCGTCTCTGTCGGGGAGTACGAGAGGTGAAACGCTGAACGACGTGGGTGACAAGATGCCAATGGCTGTTGCGCCACCGTCGACAAGAGCGGGTATGTTCGAGAGCCATGCTTCAACACCGGCCCATAATGTGTCGTTGGATTCGTTTGCGTCCGCTGAAAAAGAGAGAGAACCAACAGCCACGACACCGTCCTTGAACGCTCGCACTGTCAGTGATACCACCACGCCGTACGTGCCTGGTCCCCCGCCACTCAAGGCCCAATAGAGATCTGGGTTTTTGCTTGGGGTGGCGGTAATCAGCGTCCCATTGGCGAGCACAACTTCTCATTCCAATGCCTGATCGGCCCCCATGCCATAGGTGCTGGTCAAGGAGCTGTGCCCTCCGCCTTGAGCAAAACCACCTACCAGGCCGACCGTTGGGCAGCTTCCGGAAACGATGCGCAGACCTGCCTTTGAGACCACGGGGAGAGCATCCTCGCCAACAACTCCAGCGCCCATCTTCACAGCTGGGCCGCTGTAGTACGTGCTGTTGTAGTTGCTGATAACCTCAACTGACTTGAGTTTGTGGGTCCACAGTCCAAGTGATCCTGCTCCCACGTTTTTACCCATGAAGCTAGATCTCTCAGTAAAATTCTACACTGTGGGCTTGTGGTACTCACTCATGACCCGTGTTTTTGATGACCAAACGGATGTTTTGCTTCTGAGCGAATCGAACACCGGCCTGGATGTCCTTGGCCGAAGAGACTGTAATGGTGTACGGAGAGTAGTTTCCGAGTTCGCAAGGCTTCGAGCGTTCTGTGAAGGGGCTGCACGCTTCTGTCTGGAAGTAGGCGCTCTGCACGGAAGTCGATGAGTTCTCACTAATTATTGTAAGTCTGCTATCATATCAAGACAGATGGGTCATGGAGGTTCTTACTGCACTGGAGGGAATGCCCAGCTGGCTTTGAGAGAGTTGCATGCTACTTCGTCATAATGCGGGTCATGACAGGGTGCAGCCAACGGAACGGTCGACACAAGCTTTCCATTGACTGCCTTGTTGAGAACATTCCACTGGCCAGGCGATGGCCAAGTGTGATCCTGAGGTAGCTCCCGACAGCTTGGACTGGCGCACAGTGCTACGGCTGCACACATAGCATACGTGACAGCCGTTCGGTACGATGGTAGAAACATGATAGATGATCGTTCCACGCCTGGATAAGTATACAGAATGACGAAGTGGTTGAAGACGATGCATGGCTCCGGTCTGGACATCTTCATTTTATATCCTCTTTGCCGCCCCAAATGGCCTCCCGTCTTCTCGCAAGCCACCACTGTCTAGGACGTGTGGCTTGATAAAAAGGCATCCTAGTAAGATCGAGACCAGTGAAGCTCATTCAAAAGAAGGCCTGGACGTCGCCAGAATTGACCGTGGCAGTTGGTGGAGTCATGAACCTCAGGAGTTCCACCCTTTGATTTGGCAGGCGCAGACGCCCCATGAACTCTTGGTACCAGATGCTATGTTTGGATGATGTGTATTCGTTGGTATCTCGCGTCGGCCGCCACCACCATGATAGCTCGTCTGAGACCCCCGAGGCTGATTGCACCTGAATAGTGCAGATAGCATCCCGTCCCGTCGAAGGTAGTGCCTCGGTTCGTTCTCAGCTACGCGCATGTGGGTGTATGATACGCCCGAGTAGCCTTGACGGTAAGTCCAGTGAGTTCATATTGTCGGAAGTATCCAGTAAGCGATCCTCGCGGGCTGAGGCGTAACTCAGTCTGAGAACACACAGTTCCCGGGGCACAGTCGCCTGCATGGGAAGGTCCCATAGTTGGCTGCGTTCTCTACATCATACGGGATAGCGATGCGTTGAACAGTCGCCAGTATCGCTTTGAACTTCTCACCGTGTATGTGTAAGCTTGTGGATAGCAGGAGATGTGGCATGATGCGAAGTGGGTTGTGTTGTTGATTGGCCGCGTGGCTATCACGTGATTGATCTAGGCCAAAACAGCGTTAGCTCTCGGCGCTAGATAGAGAACCAAACACCGAGCCGGGCTGAGATAGCCCACAGCACTCGGCCCCGTCTTCAGCAGGTGCCTGAGACCCTGCACATGTGCGCAGTCATCAACGTGAGATCTTAGCCATTCTTGCTCGCTATATAGCTCAAGCCTCCTGTCCGCCTTACCCATAAGCTGGCCAGAAGAACCACAAACGAAGAGGCTTACCACAGACGAAGAGGCTTACCAACAGCCCGTGCCGTAACGATGCAACCGTCCATGGATGCCGTGGAACGGCGAAAGATACAGAACCGACACGCACAGCGGCGCTTTCGCAGTAAGTGGTTTAGACTGCTAGAAGGCCCGAACCAAGGCCGGGCCCTAGTCCGAGTCAAAGGCGCCCTCTATCCTCATCGAGGCCTCTGCGGCTACTCGGCCCTTTGATACTGACCGTTCGGGCACTGCAGGCAAGAAGGCGACTCAAAACGGAGGAGAGCCGTTCACGACAGCGGCGGCACCGTCCGCTGCAGCTACAGCGAGCGGGCCAACTATACAGCCGCGCCCGCAGTCAAACCACGATGTGCTGGCATGGGGCAGCGAGGGAAGGCTATCCCACCCCCACGCAACTGGACTACAGACGTCGGAGCAAGACCAGGTGCCCCCATCGACGACCGCCAATAGCAGCCACACACTACAGGGGGACGCCACGATTACAGGGCTGCTCCGCCAACTTCAAGATCCGCTTACTTCGTCATCGTTGCGACCACAGTAAGATAATCTCAATGCTATGGCGTGGGGATCTGGCTGAGTGACATGCAGTCCGCAAATGAACATGACCGACTTCAACTTCCTACCGTCTATGACGCAATCACGTCATGCTGTGCTATGGCCCCACGACCCTCCAGCCGAGGCCATGGTCTTCAGTACTGACGATGCTGGGGGCTTCTACGCCGATCAAGACACGAATAGAACCACGTGGCCTGACACCGGACCGAGCCGCACCCAAAGTGGATCTGAAAGCAGCAATGATACGTCACAAATCAACACTCGTATAACCACCCCCAACCTCTTTGTCGATGGCCGTCTTGGACAAGACAACGACCTCGACGACGACGAGCCCTTTCAGACGAACCTCCACATCGCGGCTGAGGCTGGTCATGACAGCCTTGTAGGCCTCCTGCTGGGCTCAGGGTACACCGTCGATGAACCCGACAGGGTAAAGTAGCCGCCGCGAGTAGCTTTAAGAATATCTTACTAACTTCTAAGTAGTATGTATCTCTCTTAATACGTTTTAGCTGCGCAGTTATTAAGGTCATACTAAGATGTATCTCTCTTGCTATGCTAACAACGTAATAGTGACGGCAACACAGCTCTGCATAGGGCCAGTCTTGGTAAACATGTGAAGGTGATGTTGAGGCTACTCAAAGACGGTGCAAATCCCAACGCTATGAATGTTCACGGTTGGACTCCCGTACATATGGCCTTTTCTCTCGGCTCGATGGAGGTAGTAGAGGTCCTGGTCCGACATGGTGGTGATCTGAACAAACGTGCGAAAGGTAAGTTGAGCTGTGACAAATTCAAGGAAGCTCTTGCAGCGAAGGATCGATTGATTGATTGATATTGGTTTAACGCCTATATGTAACCTCCCAGGGGGCATTCTGGCGGGCACCGCCGAGGGCAAAGCGAAGGATCGAGGGCTTTCGCTTGAAAAATAGCTGGGGCTTGTTATTGCTGTTGTGAGCATTGGCTAAGGCTAAAGTGCGGCGAAGCAACGCAGAGTCTGTTAAAGGGATTCATGGCTTTTCGGGCTAATAGACAGTAAAAAACAATGAGTGCTTCGAGCCTGCACCTGAATTGTGCCTTCGAGCGATCAAGACTGCTCTCCCCGGACTCCCGCTCATTTTACCAGCACTCTCACCCCTTTGGTCGCCCGATCAGGAAACGGAATGAAATAATCGGCTTTCATCTCCACCGCAGCTCGCCCAGTCTCAAACAACTCGAGTTCGAGCCTACGAAAAACAACAGCCAGTCCAATATACAGCTCTGCGCGCGCCAGATTGATCCCAAGGCACATTCTTGGGCCCTTACTGAACGCAACTAGGTACTTACTTAGTGGCTCGCCATTCTTTGCCAACGCCTTCTCAAGCCAGCGCTCGGGCACGAACTCATGCGGCTTGTCCCAAATGCGCGGGTCCGTGTGCGTGTAGTACGCCGTCATGCTAAAGTCAGTACCGGCTGGGATAACGATGTCCTTGAACGTGATAGGCTCTTTGCGAGACCTGCGTGCTGTGCGTGAGGAGATGCCAATCGTGATGCGAAGGGTCTCGTTGACGATTGCGCTGAGGTACGGCAGTGCTTCCAGAGTGGCTAAAGACGGGGTCACGTGCGGGTCTGGAAACACAGTGCCTAGTTCTGCACGTAGCCTTGTCGCAATAGCCGGGTTCTCGAGGATATAGAATGTTGCTTTGGACAAGGCGGTTGATGTTGTTTCGACGCCGCCTGCAACAATGGACCCCCCTGGACATGTGAGTAGGGTGTCTTGAGTCGAAGATGGGTGGGCTTACCTTCATGCTTGAGTCTCTCAACCGCCTTTTCTTCGGTAGGCAGATCTGAGTCGAGAAGCTCGCTAAACACCGTTTTATGTTCGACATCCTTGTGTGCGTCGTTGGATCCAGACTTAATGGTGCGGATTTGGTCTTCGATTTCCTAGGTGGAGTCAGTGTCTACAATTCCATCGAAATCCCACGAGACCTACCCCATGGAATCCAAAGATAGCGCCCATGGCTGGATTCATTGCCACCGACCACCTTTGGGGGAGCGCCTGCAGCAGAGACAAGAGCCATGGGAAGTGGCCCATGGTATGCAGCGTCGTTGCGAGTTCCTTCGCCGCGTTGGTGAAGGGCGCTTCGAAGTTCGGATCTTCCATGTACTCGAACGAGCGCGCAAAGGCGTAGTGCGTGATGACGTCGAATGTCATGGCTGTGAAACAGTTGTTCATAATGGCTGGTCTGCCCGAACCCGCGAACTCGGTTTCCAGTCGATCACACAGCCGCTGCGCCTTTTGACTGATGAAGTCAGTGATGCCTGATATCTTCTGCTTGGAGAAGAATGGCGCCACCGCCGACCGGCGCATTCGGTGGCTGTGAGGTGTCAGTTGATACTGCTTCGGTGGGGGAATCCATGCTGCCTTACTGTTGATGCTCGATAGTGTCGAAACTCGAATGAGGAATACCAGTCCGATATTTCCACTCGATTTTCTTGTCGAATTGAGAGTTACTGGCGAATAGAACCTGCACGAAATCCGGATCTGCGATGTGCACCTCCCAAGGGTTGATGCGCACGATTGGACCTGCCATCAATCAACGTATGCCCAATTGATGAAGGACTAGATTGGAAGACGAACCATATCTTTCATGCCATTCTCCGAGCTTGAAGATCAATTGACCGCCCCGAAAGACATCGTGGTATGTTTCTACCCATCCCGTGACTGCGGCAAGCTTGGGCCCAGGAAATTTGGACAACGGACTGAAGAAAAGACGGTAGATCGCAAGCGATGTTCCCCACAGTAAGAGGAGAGCTGCAAGCAAAATCAAGCGCAGTGTTGTGCTAGACAAAGACCGCTGGAATTCTTCAAACTGCTTGAAAGTCATGTTGGGATTATGCAGCGTCTTGCGACTGATGAATTTCGCTAGAGACCTGAGCTCCTCATGTTTAAAGCCTTGCTTGCCAATATTTGGTGCCATACGGGAAACGTCGGTCATGTGAGAGCGATGCATAGTAATCGTTTCCGTTCAGTTCACTGTCATCCGACCATAGGTAGGTGGACTAGATAGCTTACACTAAGAGTACAAGCCACTTATCGCGGTCAGCCTTACATGGCGCATCACGCCATGGAAAGGAGCGAGCTGCTAATGCGTTTCGGGGCCAAAAAGGCATAAAAAAGGCACAAGCAGCGGATGGCCCCACCACCTCATGCAAGGATAAATCGAACACCTGGAGGCTACATCAAGATAAAAACGCGCAAATTAGGTGACCCAAGATCAACGTAGGCTCCTGGGTATTCGTACTTTCCCTTGACGGAGGTGTCACTGCTGGATCTCCAATAGCACTGCCAGCCATATAGCCAATCATGCCAGTGCGTGTACTCTGTCTTCACGGGCAAGGAGTGAACTCAGCCGTCTTCCAGAAGCAGACACGTAAGTAATACCAAGATCAGCCAGCGTAGTATATGAAGATTTGACCAACCAATAGAGAGCCTACGCGAGATGCTGCCTGCAGATTACGATTTCCGTTTCTTCGACGGCAAATACGAATGCGAACCGGCTGAGGAAGTGCGCGATTACTACCAGCCCCCGTATCTTACTTGGTACAACACTCCGACCGTGGAGAAAGTCAAGGACGCGCATGAGCAAATCCGACAGATCATCGAGAGCCACGGCCCCTTTGATGCAGTCATGGGCTTCAGCCAGGGCGCTGCTGTAGCAGCCTCTCTACTGTTGCATGAGGAGCTAGAATCCAAGCCACTCTCCTTCAAAGCCGCAATCTTCATCGGCTCGCCCATACCATTTGCCAAAACTACGCAAGTGGGCATTGATGCGCGCTCTTACTTTGGCGTCCCCAACACGCTTCCAAATGCGCACGCTCGCCCGAGCCGCATACCACCCCACTTGCTGACGGACCCTGCGTATTTGCGCAATCCCGCGCAGCTGGAGCGGGTTTCGTGCGATAACGTGCAATATCAGATGTTTCACCCCACGGCTGACGAGGTGCGCATCGCGTTGCCGACGGGACATGTCATGGGTATGCAGGATAAATGGTTGTGCCACAGTAAGGATTTGGTTGGGCTGTGTCAGGAGGATTGCAGGGTGGTATTGCAGCACCACGGTGGGCATGAGGTACCTAGGGCTTACACGGAAGAGATTTGTGATGTTGTGGAGACGGTGTTCGGGGCACTGCTGAAAAAGGTCACGTGAGATGGAATTATCAGAATATATCTAATGAAAAAAAGTGGGTCTATCAATGGCTTACCTTGCATGATGATTACGAAGGAGCTCACTTTCATTGGCTATGGTCTGGGGCATGGGCGTTAATAAGAACGAGCTCCTTCGTGCAGCGGCCCGTGACACGCGCCGGGACGTCCTGCACGCTAGGGTGGATCTTGAGAAATCCCGTCCCGGAGAGATTCTGACATGCACGGTAATAACGCCACACGAGGCAAGGTAAGCAGGACTGACAAAACAAAGAAACAGACATGACTGCGGGACTCGCGATTACCCAACGCGACATGGCTGACAAATGTTGCACGTTTGTGCTCAGTCGCCTCAGATGTGATGGAGCGCTGGCGACGGACGGCGACGGGCCCTCACCGACGCCTCTCAGCTCATTCACTTGCCTGTATTGCAGCACTCGCTTTCGCACCCACGTAATACCAAACTTTGACTATCCCATTCTTCACTTCTCCCGACATCCGACTTCCATTCCGAGATGGCTTCTACTGAACGTCCTCTGGTAGCGGATGAGCACGACAAACCAGAAACCACCACCAGTCTCACTCAACATGGCTCTACCGAGGATGATCAAGCAAAGCCTGAACCCGGCTATCAAAGTGGGCTGCCGTTTTTTCTGGTCGTCTTCGCCTTGCTGTTGAGCATGTTCTTGGTGAGTGGGCTGGACTTCCGCAACACCACATGCAGGCTAACCAATTATACCCTAGATCGCCCTTGATATGACAATCATCGCGACTGCAATCCCAAGTATCACGGATGATTTCCATGTTAGTCTTCAAGTACTGGCAGCATTGATGTGCCCCAAACTGATACCCTCCATAGTCGGCCCCAGATGTCGGCTGGTACGCTGCTGCGTTCTTCATCACATTGGCCATATTCCAATCAGCATGGGGTAAAGCATACAAGCACTTCAATATTAAGATTACCTTCGTGGTAGCAGTCTTCCTGTTCGAGGTTGGCAGCTTGATCTGCGGTACGTTCACTTTGCCCAATTTTGGTGGATGCATCGACTAATCGGACCCTAGGCGTTTCGCAAAACAGTCTTACGTTCATCGTCGGCCGAGCCATCGCTGGACTTGGTGGAGCTGGCGTTACTGGTGGCGTGTATACCGCCATGGCCTACATTGTGCAGCCTGCGCAAGTTCCAACATACATTGGCCTCATCGGCGCCGTGTTTAGTGTCGCCAGCGTTGCTGGCCCCCCACTTGGCGGTGCGCTCACTGGCGAGGTGAGCTGGCGATGGGTGTGAGTGCGGTATCTCATGCTGTTTTTCTGTCTCTCGCTAATATCCACATTCTAGATTCTACATCAATCTGCCAATAGGCGGCTTCGCCCTGTTGATCATCTTCATCTACTTCCACTTGCCTGCCACAGTCAAGCCAGTACCTATCGGCCGAAAAGAACTCATCTTGGTCATGGATATCCCCGGTATCGTCCTCGGCATGGGTGCGCTTGTCAGCTTCACGCTTGCTATGCAATGGGGTGGTACCCTGAAGCCTTGGTCTTCTCCAGATGTTATAGGTACCCTCGTAGGCAGTGCTATCATGACTGCCCTCTTTGCCGTCCTGCAGTGGCGAGCGGGCGAGAACGCCTCCCTCGTTACCCGGATAATGACGCAGCGAACAGTCGCAGCACTGTCGGCATTCATCTTCTTGTTCGTATCTCACCGCCAAGATGTTGTTCTGATCGCTAACGAAGTATTCGCAGTCTGAACTCGACCAACTTCCTCCTGGTATACAATCTCCCACAATACTTTCAGGTTATCAACGACCTCTCTGCCACAGAAAGTGGTATCAGAAACCTTGCACTCATTCTCTCAACTTCAGCTTTCGTCCTCGCAAGTGGCTTCATCCTCGGCCGGGTCGGCTACTACCACATCTTCCTCATCAGTGGTTCTGCTCTACTCACAGTCGGGGCCGGCCTCGTATACACGCTCGACCTTGACTCCACAGTCGCGGAAGTAGTGGGGTTCCAGATTCTGGTTGGTATGGGTATCGGCTTAGCCATCCAGGCTCCCGTCATTGTCGCACAGGCCTTCTCGGCCCCTGAAGATATACCAGTAGTCACGTCGATAGTCATGTTCTTCCAGCTAGTGGCGGGAGCGATATGTGTATCGGCCTCGCAGACACTTCTCAACAACCGACTGATCTCAGCACTGGCGGACCTCGCGCCCAACATTTCATCCGAGCAAGTCTTCGCGGTCGGTGCGACGGAGATTCGTGATGCCTTTCAGGGAGCCGATCTCGTCGCTGTGCTCAAGTCCTACATGGTCGGTCTTAAAGATTCTTGGCTCTTTGCGACTGTTTTGGCTGCGATCACGTTTCTCCTGGCTTTTTCGGGAGAATGGAAGAGTGTGAAGGGCGCAAAGCCTGCGGCTGTTGCATGATATTCGCGTGTGTACTTTATCTGAGATTTACTCTTCATAACACCTCTTGTAATACTTTTAGAACATTCCAGCAGAATGGAATTACTCCTTACATCAAAATACCGGAAACCGTCCTTCGGAATGAGCCTTCTTTGTCCACATTCCGCGTGATTGCTTATTTTGGGGCGCCCTTGTGTTGCACTGAACGCCATGTGTGGGGGACTTGACTGTACCCCCACTCACCTAACGACAGCATTACGCGAGACAGCTTTAACGCGCTACAATACCGACAGCACTGGAAAGATACCGTTTCTTTGAGAGCCTGGTCAGGCGCCATGGCCGACCGATTAGCCAGGCATCAGACCCTCTCTAGGTGAGCATACTGGCCCATCCTTAACTCAGCCGGGCGTCGCTTCAGGTTTGGCTCCCAGGACTACTGTGGATACGAGATGTACCAGCTCGTCTCTGTTGTAGTTAGATTGGCCCGATGGAATATCAGCACGGGAAGAACGTGCATGGAATGAGCCCCGGTTCCAACGGCCCAGCTGTTGTGTCAGCGAGCCTCAGCCGCGATACCGGTAAGCATTTGGCAGCCACCATTTGAGTCACCGAAGCCATGATCCAGATAATCAGGGTTGCCCTCGCCGCGGCATACAATCAGCTTACGAGGCCAGAGCTAACTGTGGGTCGGGCGTTCAGCAAGGTCTGCAGTTGGTGGCGCAGGTCTTCAAGCCACGACTGAGCGGTTTCCGAAGAGGCAACTTTCACGTTCAAACAACTGCCGAGGCGAGTCTGAAGAGAGGCTAGAGATGTTTATCATACGAATATAAATGTCGAAAGAGGCTCCCATGATCAGTCAAATCAACTGCGTCGAACAGTCTCTTCAACTCGGCTTCCTTCGCTGGATGAGTGAAGAACTACCTCATTTTACATCATTCTCTCTGAATAGCTTATCATTCACCCCACTTTCCTAAGAGAGTCATGATGCCCCAACGAGCATTGGTAGCACTTGCTACAGCGCTGCTTTCGGCTGCCACCATTTCCGCCGACCAATATGCTAACAATACCGACTGCCGCGTCCTACCAGGAGATGCTGCTTGGCCTGTCAAATCGCAATGGGACAAACTCAACGTGACGATTGAGGGCAGACTCATTGCATCCGTACCACTAGGCGCAGCTTGCCACGACCCAACCTACGACGAGGAGAAGTGCAACTATCTGCGCGAGAACTGGCAGCTACCAGTCACCTACGAAGACGATCCCACCACACCAATGAGCTATTGGTTCCAGAACTCAACATGTGATCCATGGACTGATCGTTCAACGCCCTGTGAGCTGGGCCATCTGGCTGTCTATGCAATCAACGTTAGCCAGCCAGCTGATGTTTCGGCCGGACTTGCTTTTGCACATGAGCATAAGATCAGAGTCAGTATCAAGAACACTGGCCATGACTTCAACGGAAAGTCGGTTGGTCAGGGATCTCTGGGTATCTGGACTCACAATCTCAACTCCATTCAACCAATCCACAACTACAGCCAGCCCTGGCACAAGGGTCCAGCTATGAAGCTCGGTGCGGGCGTCAGAGGCTATGAGGCATACAAGGGTGCTCACGATGCTGGCCTTCGGGTCGTCGGTGGCGACTGTGCCACTGTTGGCATCGCAGGAGGCTTTCTCCAGGGTGGTGGCCACTCGCCTCTCTCTGGCGTTTACGGAATGGCTTCTGACAATGTGCTTGAATGGGAGGTAGTCCTTGCGAATGGTACATTCGTGAAAGCTACACCTGAACACAACGAGGACCTTTACTGGGCACTTGCTGGAGCTGGCCCATCTACCTTTGGCGTCGTCACCGCGGTCACACTACGTGCATTCCCTGACGGACCCGTCGGCGGCGCATCGATCATTTTTGATCGCAGCCAGATGAGCAACGACACCTTCTGGGAAGCATTCACCTACTTCCAGAAAGCACTCCCCGGACTCAATGCTGGTGGAGCGCAATCATCCTTCGCTACCCTACCGCTGCAATTCTATCTGCAAGCCGTCACACGGCCCGACTACACCAAAGACCAGATGCGTGACTTGCTGTCAGAGTTCACCACAAACCTTGACTCTCTCCATATCGACTACAACCTCACTATCACTTCCACGCCTACTTACCTGGACCATTTCGTAACATACTTCGGCCCCGCACCATGGGGCCCTTACGTCATCGGTGAGCTCATGACAGGCCGTCTCATTCCCCTTGAAGTTAGTCAAGCCGACCCAGCCGCGATCATCGCTGCGTATCGCGAAATCACCGATACTACGCAGATCATCATCGGCTCTACCGCCCAAGACGTTTCCATCACGCCGCTCCGCAAGCCCGTCGCACCCAATTCTGTGATGCCCAGCTGGCGCACAACAGTCAATACATTGCTCATCCAGAGCTACTTCAACTCGTCGATTTCCTGGAACGAGAAGCAGCATTTGCAGGACCAGCTTGTCGGCTTTGCGCAAAAGCGCATTGATGATCTCGTGCCGGAGGATACGGGGACTCATTTGAATGAAGCAAACTTTTCGCCGCTGATTGACTGGAAGACGCAGTTCTATGGCACTAACTATCCGAGGTTGTTGGATATTAAGCGTCGGTTGGATCCGGAGAATGTCTTTTGGGCTGTCACCGCTGTCGGTTCTGATGCGTTTGAGGTGGCTGCTGATGGTCGACTCTGCGTTGCCCATTAGGGATAGATGAGTACGTCGTTTAGTCAACTTTGTATCCGTGGTTTGCACTGTGCTGCAGTAGGCAATCCTTGACTTGAGTGGTTGTATTAGAACGGTTGTGTTAGATACTAGAGGGGTCACATTAGAGCGGTCGTACCTAGGTATTAGAGTGGCTTTATTAGAATTCATTCGGTACGTTTGATGATGTTCATCGAAGTAACTTGCCCTAGCTACTACATGCATGAGTGAAGAGATATTGGTATCTTCCAGGCTGCGAGATCACGGGAAGAACCCCTACGATCACTTTCTTCACTGTCCAAAGCATTCCAACGCCATGTCATGTCTACAATCTTTCGCGTCATTGATAAAGTGTACATATGGTATCTAAAACTCTCTTTTCAACTCTCAGTGGTGGTTCTGAGCCATCCTAGGCGACGTAGGTGTGTGTCAACAGTATCAGGAACTACGTACATAGTCGTGGGTTGCTCCGGCTCGCGTAGGTACTGGTCACGAACTCGATCTCAGTGACTAGTCGTAGTAGAAATTGATAAGAGATGAGCGTAATGGAAGCGTTGTAATGAGTGGTTTATATATTGTTGATACGAAAGTCAAACTATCTATACGCATCCAAGGACGTGCGAATACTCGTCGATTTGTCACAACTAAGCTGCGATAATCTTCTTTACGAAATCCGCCTGCAAATTTGACAGCATGGGAAAGTCTTCCCCACTCAACACATCCAAATGCCCCTTGCCAGGAGCGATATGCAACACCTTCGGCTCCGGGAACGTCGCATGAAGCGCAATCTGCGCCTCGGGGGGCGAGATCTGATCCAGCTCCGGCACTACCATCAACACAGGTGTACGGTCCAGGTATCTCATGATACCTTGTGGTTGCCATAGCTTTATTTTGTAGTACGATTGGAACGTTGTGTGATTTTCGTGTCGCGGGGCGCCACGCGTTTTGGCGTTGACCATACTACAAACACCGGTCAGTTATACATTGTCGCTTATCAGACTCGTTGGACTTACTAGTCAAACTCCTCCTTGTCTGCTCCCAACCCCATCCCAGCGGGGTTCTTGCCCTCAGCCGTCAACACTGGGACATATAGAGGTTTGTTCCCTGTGAGCTGCGACTCCCGGTCTTGTTGGACTTTGGCAAGCACTTTGGGAAACTTGGATGCTTCGTATTCGAGGTTCAAGAGCGGGCAGATAGCGATGCAGAAGCGAATGCGTGGGTCCAGAGCTGTAGCGGACAGTGCAATGACACCGCTGAACGACATACCCCAGATACCAATCCTTGAAGGATCGACGTTTGGAAGACTCTTGACGAAAGTGACTGCGTCGGAGTAGTCGGATACTTGTCTCGCTGGATCGATGTCGTTGCGCGGCAACCCATCGCTCAGGCCGAGCGTTCGCGGGTCATAGATCAGTGCTGTGATGCCGTTCTTCTGGAACTGCTCGGCTACATCTGGTACAAACATCTCTTTGACGCAATTGAACTGTCATCGTCAGCTTTTGGTCTGATCATTTCTTTGAGCCGTCGAGAAGAGCATACACCCGGTGTTATAATGACCGCAGGTCCCTTTCCGGACGACACTGCAGCATTGTACAGGTCGCCACGCAAAGTTAGACCATCAATGGTCTTGAACTCAACTTCCTGGATGTCGATTGCCATGATGCTGTCTGATTATGTAAGGATGCTGGAGGAGTTCAACAACGTTGCCACGGATTCGGAAGATGCTTCTTATCTCAAGTTGTGGTTGAGAATATCAAGTTCCAAGGTTCTCAGAAATACGCTCACTGAATGCGTTTCGTGTACCACCGACTACTAACATGGATTTGATACCCACAACCATAATTCATCACCCAGAGAGTATACCTACGAGTCAGACATTGCGGAAGTGTGCACTACGGGGAAGTCAGCATCAAACGCTACACGAACGCAGGGTCAGAGCCTTGCGCAAAGCTACTACATGACGCTGGGTCACGAACATATGCAAAGTAATCGAAAACCACAGCCAAGTTCAGCTGAGTACATATCGTTGCGTACCGAACTATGCCAGGGTTCTAAAGATGGCGCCATGTGCTGACCGCATAATCTCCGTCCAGCCATTTGCCGACACACCAATCGCAACCGATTTGGAAGAAACGTTGCAGATGTATGCCAAATGTCCACTTTGTCCACAAGCCCTAATCTCACATCAGCTTCATAGATTAATCGTGGTTCACCCCGACGTCTTTCGGTAACGTACGTCTTGCTGACTGCATGTCAGCAGTTCCGATAGTCCCAGCGACCAAATTCTTGCGTGAATGATACTGCCTATCATCAGAGGAGATGATTGGATGGAGTTTCGGAACCCGAGCCACCAATGCCAGCCGCGAGCAGTTGGTGAGGCTGATCCTTGGTGGCTTTGTCAACCCCACGAACTAACCCCACAGATCTAACCAAATTCAGAAGCGACTGCCGAAGTCAGGGTAGCACAACGACCCTAGGAGAGTAGCAAGAGGCTCGCATTTTTTGCGTTATCTCTCAGGTGACATATTACTATGTTTCCACCTACCTCAACAACTGCGAGGCTGACTCTGCAGACGCAAGAGTGCAAACACTGTCTACGGTTGAATCAGGTGGTGTCATGAACGTCTAATGTCAGGCTCATGATACGCAACGTCAGAGATTACGGTGCGCAAGAACGAGGTGTTGTGCAAGCTGGTAGAGACAGACAGGCCTCAGCGATACAATGATACAAGCGCGAGTAGACCAATCGCAGTGACTACGTTATCGTCACAGTGCACTTTGCAAGATCCCAGCGAAGCCCTTTCTTTATCAGGAAGTTTGCACTTTTTCGACTGCGTTGTCAAATTCTTCCTAGCACTTCTGCGCATACTACACTTTAGAGAGCCTGTGGACTAGGACGAAACTATTCGGACGACATAGAGAAGAAATAGAGTGAGCTTGAGACTTACAATTCATAGCTATAGCTTCGTGCTAACACTTTCAGCTCTCCTTACCATACTAGACCAGATTTCTTCCGTCTTCACTATTGCAAACCTTTGATCACTTCCTACCTCAACCATGGTTATCAACGACTCAGGCCATGAGGACTACGGTCTCAACCAACGAGTTTCGGCAGCTTCTACTGCCCCGAAACCCCGTAGGTACACACAAGAACCTATCGCTGTTGTTGGCATGGGGTGTCGTCTTCCTGGGGACAGCAATTCCCCACACGCACTATGGGACTTCCTGGAGCGCGGTGGCATCGCAGACAATACACCACCACAAAGTCGATTTCGCCTCGATACACACCACGACGGATCCAAGAAGCCGAAGACCATGAGATCGCCTGGTGGGATGTTCCTCGAGAACATCGATCCAAAGAAATTCGATGCCGCCTTCTTCAGCACGGGCAAGCTTGATGCTATTGCCATGGACCCGCAGCAGCGCCAACTTCTGGAGGTCGTCTACGAGTGTCTCGAGAATGCCGGAATTCCTCTTGAAAAGCTTGATGGCGAAGCAATCGGTTGCTTCGTCGGCTCTTATGGGGTTGACTACGCCGATATGCAGGCAAGAGACCCTGATGATCGAGCTCCATCTGTCACCATCGGTGTTGGTCGTGCCATTCTCAGCAACCGCATCAGCCACTTCTTGAACATCCATGGACCAAGTATGACGATTGACACAGCCTGCTCGGGAAGTCTTGTCGGCGTCGATGTGGCATGCCGATACCTTTCGAGTGGCGAGATCGATGGTGCTCTTGTTGCAGGTGCCAACCTCTACTTCAACCCGGAACACAACATGGACAGCGGACCAATGAAGGGAGCGTCCTCGCTCTCAGGTCGCTGTCACACCTTCGACAAGAAAGCCGACGGCTACATCAAAGGCGAAGCTATCAACTGCGTGATGCTGAAGCGTCTTTGCGATGCGGAGCGAGATGGCGATCCGATCCGAGCGATCATACGTGGTACCTCTACCAACAGTGATGGGAAAACTCCCGGTATCGCAAGCCCCAGTTCTGAGGCTCAAGCGAAGGCCACAAGGGCGGCTTATGCCAACGCCGGGATTTCTGACCTGTCAGCCACCGGCTACATTGAGGTATGTTGTCTACTTCTCTTTACAGCACAGCATTGAGCTAACGCCACCTAGATGCATGGTACCGGAACACAAGCGGGCGACCCACAAGAAGTCAAGGGTGTTGCATCAGTCTTCTCTTCCTCGAGACCTGAGAACGCACCTCTGATAATGGGATCAATCAAGAGTAACGTCGGTCACTCAGAGCCAGCAGCCGGTATCTCAGGACTCATGAAAGCCATCATGTCTGTTGAGAAAGGGAAGATTCCAGGCAACCCTACCTTCATCGACCCCAACCCAAACATCGACTTTGAGGGCTCAAGAGTCCGCGCAACGCGATACACCATACCCTGGCCTGCTCAAAGTGGTCCCAGACGTGCGAGCGTCAACTCTTTCGGGTACGGCGGGTCGAATGCTCATGTCATCATTGACCAAGTGCCCGAAGAGAAGAAGAACTTTGTGTCTTCGGTCAGTGACGGCTTTGGGGATCTCCTGGCAGATGACGTTGCGGTTTCCAGACCACACATTTTGCTCTTCTCTGCAAACGACGAAACCTCGATCAAAGCTTACACTGCTTCGTTGCGCAAACATCTTTTGGATCCAAGGACAAATGTAGACCTACCTGACCTTGCTTACACGCTCTCAGAGCGACGTTCTCAACACTTCCATCGAGGGTACATCGTTGCGAAAGACCTATCACTGGATTCCAACGCCATCGCCTACGGAAAGAAGAACTCAGATGCTCCCAGAATCGGGTTGATTTTCACTGGACAAGGCGCCCAATGGTCGCAGATGGGCAAAGCGCTGCTACAGAACTTCGCAGAAGCGCGCGTGGTTATCGAGCGACTCGACAAGGTTCTCCAAAGTCTGGTACATCCGCCTGAATGGTCTCTCCTCAAGGAGCTTACCGAAGTCCGGAGTCCGGAGAAACTGCGCGATCCCGAGTTCTCACAGCCACTCGTCACAGCCCTACAGATAGCTATCGTCACTGTCTTCCGCAACTGGAGTATCCATGCTGAAGCAGTGGTGGGTCATTCTTCAGGAGAGATCGCTGCCGCATATGCAGCTGGACTCTTGACGGAAGACAATGCGATCAAGGCCGCCTACTATCGTGGATATGCATCGAAGGCGACCCGGGACTTGCAAACCGCCAGAATGGGCATGATGGCTGTTGGCATCGGAGCGGAAGATGTCCAGCCCTACATCGCGAAGGCTAGACTAGCAAATCCGGGATCGAAAGCCGTTACAATCGCCTGTTACAACAGCCCAAACAGTGTCACTCTATCTGGAACCGTTGACAGTCTGGATGCTGTGCGCGTGGAGCTAGTTGCGGACCAGCACTTCGCTCGCATGCTTCAGGTCGACATGGCGTACCACTCAGCCTTCATGGGAGCCGCAGGGGAAGAATACGTCAAATGTCTCGAAGCCGAATCGTTTCGTACAACCGGTACTCACTCCAAAACGAAGATGTTTTCGTCTGTTGATGGTGACCTGGTCAACCGTCCAGTGGATATCGCGTACTGGAAGCACAACATGGTGCAACCAGTAATGTTCGAACAAGCTCTCGACCACATGCTCTTTGGTGGAGAATCAGTCAACTTTCTTATTGAGGTTGGGCCGTCTGGCGCATTGGCTGGACCCACCGCACAGGTCAAGAAAGCGCTACCTGGCGGCGGCTCGAAAGTGCAATATTGCTCCGCCTTGACCCGTGGCAAGGATGCAGAAAACGCCATCTTTGACGTAGCCGGGAGGCTATTTATCGCTGGCTACAACGTGGAGTTTACCAAGGTCAACTGCATTCCTGCGCGGTGCAAAGTCGTAACTGACTTGCCCAATTACTCCTGGAACCACAGCACCGACTACTGGTACGAGAACGAAGCCAGTCAGGAATGGAGAGACCGGAAGTTCCCTCATCACGACCTCTTGGGATCCAAGGTACTCGGAACAGCCTGGCAAGCGCCTGCATGGAAGAAATCCCTTAGGCTTGAAGATCTTCCTTGGTTGAAGGACCATCGCCTTGGCCCCGATGTCGTCTTTCCTGGAGCCGGCTACATGTGCATGGCTATCGAAGCTATGATGCAAACGGATGCAGTCCTGCGATCCCAGACCGGCGCAGTCCTGAAGCACAAACAGCAAGTCCGTCTGCGCAACGTCTCTTTCGACAAGGCCCTCGTCCTGGAAGAAGGGAAGGATACCAAGATCATGCTGACGCTTGCACCTTTCGCCAGTCTGAAAGACTCCTGGTATTTCTGGGTGGTGAGGTCTCTCGTTGCAGGCTCTTGGGTGGACCACTGCAAAGGCCAGGTCCGCATGGAGAAAAACACGGACATGCCCGCGTCTGGAAGCGACATCACTCCACTGCAACATGCTACCCCAGCAGCTCTTTGGTACAAGTCCATGTCTGATGTGGGCTACAACTTCGGCAAGGCCTTCCAGAAACTTCAGTCCGTCGAAGCAACATCCGGATCAAGACAATGCAGATCTCAAGTCGACTTCAGCTTCCCAGAATCCGATTTTACGCAGTCAGCGTATCCTATCCATCCTGCAGTATTCGATGGCTGCATGCAATCCTGCGCCCCGGGGCTCTGGCGCGGCATCAAGAGTAGCGT